CTGTTCGGGAGATAATGGGCAGGCATGTGTAGTAGGTCCCTGAAGTATCAGAGGCAGTGATATTGGATACTGATACCCAATACACGTCATCAGACCTCAGTTTCAATTTGTAAAAGCATTAGCCATGCACTTTTCTGTGCCGGTTTTGGCTGTCCATTTGGATGAACAGTCTGAGACCTCAGAACTCCGATAACATTGCCACCAGATACACTTTAAGTCTAAGGGTCGAACACCGCCAACCAGGTTTCGCTGTAGCCAGCTTTTCGAGATAGCTCCTATTCTGTTTGGGATTTATGGGGCTCACCACCCCATTACCAATTGCCACGTTGGAATAGCAGATAACTGTTTATTACAAAATCGTCTACAATATATGCATTGCCTAACATACCTGGTGATTGTTCTGTACAGCAGCGATGTGCTCGCAACACTTTCTCAATCTGCATGGCTATTCATGTCGTTTTCGGTTCGTGGACATCCTTAGTATTCATAGCCAACGGTATGATTTACTTTATCGTATAAGTATTCTTTCACACATCTCATTCCCCATCGACTTCTTTTCAGAAGATGAAACTCGTATTGCGCTGTTTTTGTCTGCTTTCGATGGGAACACATGTGTCGTCAAAGTTCCGTTGGTGAATAAGGATACTACCTTGTTCCGATACGTTCAGGTAAGTTGCGAATGTTTTAATTTAATTTCATATTAGATCTATCATACCTGCGAAAGAACGGGTCAAATGGTGAATGAGATAAACGTTCTGCGTCAGATAGTGCACGTTACAGTTGATATTTTGGACTTAATTCGACGGTTGCCCTTCTCTAATTTTCTGAATATGAGCTAGTCAGGCGACAATGAACGCCTGAGTAAAATTGAATGTCATTGTCTGTTACAAAGTTACAACGAAAGGCTTTCTGTAAGAATGGTGATTCACCAATTCAGGATTTATCAATCTGGAAACTGACGTCTCACGTATTGCATATATCCCTCAGAACTTTCCTGCTTGCTTCAGTGATAGTAGGACACTTTGGGTAGTATGACGCTGGACGATATAAAAGATGCTTATTACCAAAGCGGGTCTGGCCAGAATATTTTGAATCTCTTGATTGTTTAAATGACTCCGTCCCAGCTTTCATTGTTGCACAGCAACAAGTATGGTTCGTTCAGCAAGGGTTTGCTTTTGGCTCCTGTTTAGCTAAAGTGGCACTTACTAGTCGGAAACTCGTACAGTCTTATCCCGGTCATCGTGCGGAAAGCGAGCATAGCTTCTGCAAATGGTGCACAGGTCCGTTAGGACGGATGATGGTAGACATGCGGTGCTGGTGTTGTGAGTTACTACTCACTTGCGAGTAGTACGTAACTTTCAATGATCAAAAATATAACAAGACCACCGAGGGCCAAGTGATGTGTCTGAAAGAATAACTACCGTTCACCCTGTGCATTATTCAACGTGCCACCAGGAACGGCGATGGTATGTTTCTGATGAGATGTTTTGTGTTATGTATGGCTATATTGGTGGTTTCCTGTATGAAACCCTCAATAAACGCTTGTCCTCGACCAGCACCGTCTTGTGAAATTATAACCCTGGCAATTTTTACGTTGCATTGAAGTTTATGTGTTCTAACTCTACTAACCCCATTTCTTTGCCTCAAATAATAGTCCAAGGATTATCCTTCAGGAAACAGGAATTTCATGGAGTATTTGAACATAAAACAGTTTAACGGTTGCCAAACAGTCGTATAAATGTTGCGGATTGTTGACCTGAAACCTGGTAGAAGGATTTTAGTCACCAATTAGTAGCATGCACATAAAGCTGACGAATTTCATTCATCTTTCTTTGAAATTTATTAAATTAATCTCAATTCCGCTTTCTTTCTCTATCTGAAGGATTTGTGCCATCAGGTTTACGAAAAATCTACACCACTGCCTGAGAAAACCGAAGATGCTACTGCTGATCGCACAAATGAAACAAGTGACGGGACAAAGTCCGCACACACAGAGAAATTGGCGCCCAAAGTTTTGGTACTCAAATTAGGTTATCGACTTTGGCACCCTTCGGATGAGATCTGTTCACATGGATCCGCGATATCGGTAAGTTTTCTTACGAAACTCGGAAATTCATGTTGTGGCCTCTCAACTGCTGCCGCCTAGGTTGGTGCTGCATGGAGGATTGTTTTTCTTCTCTTTCCGAATTCCGATCATCCTAGGTTGTTTTGAAGTAGAATGGGTTGAGATAAACACGTATAAACGTTTTAGGCAGATGGATGTTTAAGCTTTTCACGGAAATTCACCTAGAGTTCAAAGCGCCATATCGACTGAACTAGCACAAAATTAAACTAACAGCTCATCTGTTTAGGTGCTTCTTCTTGTTGGCTCTTCCTTCATCCAGTTCGGTTATAATTTTTTTCGTTTGCGCAGGCCTATAATCTGCTCAGCCGTGATGATCTCCGTCTAACTCCGGCTATGCAACATCCAATCGAGTACACCGATACCGGAATCAAGGTCACAATGCTGAACGAAATTCCAGAAAATCCGGATGATCATATGTTCTGCGAGGTCAAATCACCTAGTCCAGATTTGTCCGCACAGCCCACTGCTCCGGAGCAACTGTTGCACTTACTCACCCTGCTCTATCAGCTATCTGGTTTAGATGATCACTCAGTGAGCCTGGGATCAGTCGGAGACATGGACGTATCAGGCAGCTCACATGTGGCTACTGGTGAGACCAAATCGCAAGTCACATCTACTCCAATTCGGGCAGCTCCTCGTTTTTCGCTTACTCCGCAGAGCATCCGGAAAGGTTCTGTTTTATCACATTCTGGTTGTAGTGGTGGTGGTGTAGGGCCTATCCAACCCGATGATTTTGTGTCTCGTCGATTGACTAGAAAATTACTCCGTCAAATTCGCGATCCATTGGCCTTATCATCCGGCGCGCTACCTGACTGGTGTTTCGGCCTCAGTCATCGTCTGGCTGCACTGTTCTCATTTGATTCTCGTCTGGAGTTGTTAAAGGCGCACGCATTTGGACCAGCTAGGTTTGTCTCGCTTGTTATTTCCTTTCGTAATCGTGAATTTACGTTAGCCGAAAATTTCCTATTGGTGTTAATGTCTATGCTCTTTTTACTACTTAAAGTGATTTACAACAAACGGAGGAAACCCCATAGTCAGCTTAGAGCCTCCTTTCCGGCCAACTTATCATCACGCCTATCCCCTACTGAATTCTCCATTCCAAGTCCCTCCTGAACTTGCGTAGCTGGGCAGTCGGTTCTCGGGGTCGTGTTTTATCGTACTCACTGTTCTTCACAGAATGTATCGTAAAACGTATGTAGCATGTGAAGTTTCACTTAGCGCTTCTGAATAACACAGTATGAATTCAATACCGGTATAGAAGTCGATGACCATATTTTGCCTAAGCATAGATTAGTGATATAATTCTATCTTCCTGATCACATTAAAAGTTTTCAATGGATCGCTATCTCAGGGAAATTATTTCTCCCCCGTGTGCATCACCTTGTTATAGTGTCTGTTTCTGTGTAGCTGGAACCGGTGTCAGTTCCTCTCACCTGCTATGGCGATGTGCAGTCTATCGTCTGACGCGGCCGTTCGCACTGGACATGACAACCACCAGCCTGTACCACTCAGGTTGTTCGAATGGCCTTTTGGTGCATTATAATTCAGTCGCACAATAATCTTTGCATGGGTCTGTTGCGCTTTTGAATGGTCGATATATTTCGCTCAGTGCTGCACGCTGAGCAAGCAGCCACACATCAGTTTCTCCCGGACCTCAGTATGGTTGGTAGAATACACACATATGTTACTAAATGAAGGGCTCCTGTGAATCACTTTGGACTATCAAATCTGATTGTCAAATCTTTTAAGAAATGGTGTATTTGGGTAAGGATGTTAACTGTTTCTCGGGTACTGTCCAGTTTGTTTGATATGCGACAGTCAATTTAACTTCTTTTTACTGTGCAAATTAGGATAACTGTTTTTTCGTCACGTCGTTTGTATGATTCTTCTCATATACAGTCTCGTGTGGTAGTAATCAATCTGCGTTGCTTGTGAATTGCAGGTCAGTCATCTGGCTTCAAAATCAGCCTCCAATCAAGAACAGCGGGACATCGAACAATCCACTGAGCCGTTCACACAGTGATGGCAGTTCAACTAGCAGTGGCACACATCGTACGCGACAGAATGCGGTTACAGCTGCGCACACCTTAGTTCTTTCCGCACTCACTGGGCAGAGGGATTCCAGCCATTTACTAAGTCCAAGCACTGCTTCCGATGTGCTTTTACTTCGTCCGTCTATTTTGTCTCAACTAACCACAGCCTCCTCAGCTACGCGACCTACAACCACCATCGTCGGAGATGTCACTGGTGTCGGTGGTAGTCACAATAGCGTTCTTCCTCTGGATCAACCGGCGCATATGGATAATCCACTTCTCGGTACTCTTCTGACCAGTTTGGGATTGACTTTGCCACCGGGATTCTCACTGCGTAGCAATTGTTCTCGGGATTTGAGTGAGCTGTGGAGTTGCCTGCTATCACGAACTGTTCGAGCGCATAACGGTGCTCAAGGGGAGACCCGCACCGCGACGAATGTCGGTCGGTTGCACAAGGAATTTGTTCGTCTACCTCGTATGCCCCGTGAATTGGTCGGTATGACTGAGCAAGCTCAAGCACAGCGCAATGTTTCAGACGACTCAGCCGACAGTTTTATGTCTACTTTCTGGGATTGGGCTGCCTGTTTGATGGAAGAGCATGCCTCCCGAAAGTCCGAGTTGGAAATTCAGTTTATCGGTTAGTCACCTATTATCTGTCTCGTTTATCATTTACCTTGTGAATGCAATGCGGTTGGTGTTTGCTGTTTTCCTTATTTAGAGCATACTAATAGTGATGTCTTGTATCTCATATGATCTCACAACTGGATAATCAGTATCAAACACACTTGCTGCGTTCACATTCAGTCTGACTAACTGACTCCTAGGGAATGCTGTGCGTTAAGCGTACATTTCTACAAACTATGAATGAATAACTTCGACTTACTTAATAGCCAATGAGATCCAATCGAATTCCTCCATCTGATTCTCGGTGTTCGGGAAAACAGCATTCATTCTAAGTCGTTTTACTAATGTCAAACCAATTGAATGTTGAACAGCTTCCTTTTCAGTCGTAGGAATACCATTATTTTGTTGTTCACCTGTCAAAGCGCCACAACTAGCGATGTGTACGGTTTTTCACATCAGTGAATATGAAGAAAGAATCAGCAATGCTTGATTTAAGGGTCCCGCTTAATTAAACGGAACTGTCGTGTTATACATTAATAAACGCGGACAACACCGCAATACCGAAGGCAAAAATATATCCGGCATGAGTTAACGCAAAGCACACTTGGTTTCACATCCCAAATGACCGAAAGCATAAATCGGACGCATAGGCTCATCTCTTCGAAGTTTTACTGCGAAAACGTTTTAGCGATTAGTACACACAATTAATTGATTACTGCACCGGTTGACAAAGTTCTTTGAACAAATCAATGTGGACGACACGCATGCAGTAGTTCGATCATCTCTACATCGCAAGATTAAAGTACTGCGCCTACAAATATGCCATAGAGTACAGTTTTTTAGGTGGTTTGTGATGTCTTGACACTGATGCGCTTGAACAAGCTCACTTGTGCTGATTATCGGGAATTTATGCATCAAAACAATACGATATTTATTTCCCATCCGGTGAGGGCCAAAAAAACAACAACTCAAGACAGTCCCGGAATGTTCCAAGGTTGCTTCAAGTTAGGGCTCACCCTTATCGATAAATTCTTCCACTATGATAAATGACAACACGATTATTTGAACGGTACGCGTCGCGGCCAGTAAACCGGAATAGCCGTCGATTTTTTGTATGCATGTTTTCGAATGATCTTGCTGCCGAACCTGCCGATGAACCTTGTAATTCCTAGAAGAAGATATTCATAGATTATGTCATAGTTGTATGTGCATTTCATTCTTCACGGAACTTACCAATGGTTTTTGTGTTAGATTCCCACGGATACACCTGGGTGTCGATCGTTCTTTGACGAGGAAAATCTTTGAAGTGGATGACATGGCTGAGTTTCGTAAACAATACCCCTCGTACATCTACTCATTATCCTTACGACCTTAGTTCACGGGACTTCCCTATTTTCTCTTTGGCTCTGCTCGCAGCATCCCAATCTTATGCCCTTTTATTCAAATAGGAAGTCATGAGACAGCAAGCAAAACCGGCGCACGAAAGCGCATGGTGAATGTTTGTAAACCTGAAACTGAAACTTGAAGGGTGTCGTCGTTTCATTGAACAGGTGCTGGGACAATTGTGTAAATGCATCAGTGATTCAGTTAATATTCGAGATTGAGCGCTCTCCGAGTGTGCCGAGGGCCCCACAAACATGGTTGCATCCGTCGGTGAAGATCCGCAAATTCGAGGAGCTCCCTAAAATGTGCAAGTATCCGGATTCGAATAATTGTGCTACGAGGCCACACAACATTTGTCATAAGGGAAGGATTTATCAGGCGCAAAAGGAAAAGAGCAAGCCCGAATTTGTAGCCCTTTTGAAAATCGAAAATGTGTGCACATCAAGAACCCGTACATTATCAAATCGTTGTCGATTGAATAGAAGACGGATTTCTGCGTCAAGTCTCAGATGTCGGCCATCCGATCCTGACTACGCTAACAAAGAGCACTCACGAATTCTACTTAGACGGTCGAAATGATTTG